CTGCCCTGGTTGCCTCTATGCTTTTGGGATGGCCTATTTGGTTCTGGGATGGCCTCTCTTTTCTTTTCAGTAGTAACTGATATTTGCAGCTTACATTAGCTTTCCTTCAGCATCTCTGAAAGGGCAATTCTGCTGAAATCTTGAAAATGGGCAAAATACTTTATATTTAGTAAACCAATTAATTTGTTTATCACTTAATCAGCTTTTGGATTACATAAAATATCTTGAAACTATTTTCAAACTTAGTCAGAAAGCAAAAGATAATTTCAAAGGCACTTTTGTTCTAGTTGATTGTCCTAGACATGGCTTGGATCAACCATAATCATCAATGTATGTATTCAGCTCTTTATAAACTGTCCTTCATTATGAAATCACAAGGTGGTGTAAAGAATTAGTTAAAATGAACTGATATGCTATGGAAATTGCCTTCCAAGATATGAAAATGCAAACATATGCAGAGCTGGAAAAGTCCAAGATGCCCCTGCCAAAGCCTAAACAATATTCCAATTCTTGCTCCATCTGCAGATCAGTTTTATGTTTTAGCCTGGGTCAACTGAATGCTGGACATCCAAATTCTTGCACACAAATAGCCCTAGTTTTGCTCTGGGTAAGATGTTGGATGCTTTGTGGATGCCCCTCACCTGAAGCCACCATTATAGTTGATAGCAGCAATGTATCGACCAAATATGCACAGTTTTGCAGACTGGTAGTCTGTCTCTCAGCAGTTGATTTTATTCTGAAGATGCAGTATTAAATACCTCTCCAAAAAGGACAGTGATAGAATCAGGTGTCTTCAGGCTCATTCTGCTGTTCAGAGTGGATCTACTAGGAATTCTTTTTCTTACTTAAAAAATCAAAATGCCTTGCAAAAATTCCACATACATCTATTGAAAGCAGGATCAAAAGCTGAAAAGTTACTCCATGCTGATTATAGGACAGGGACAAGAAGGAAGTAATCAGACATAAGAGCTTTATTGACACAAGCTCCATTAAATTTATTTGTCCAAAATGTCCAAGTAAGCATGCTGCTGGATTCTCAGAATGGTTTTGTCAAACAGCATATGTGAGTGAGTCACTTTGTGTTTGTGTCTATAAGAGGGACATTCACTTCTTTGATTGAATCACTGTTCCTCCACAGTCCTGCAAGAGACAGAGGCTACCTTGGACATTTGGTACCCAAGGTGAACTGGGTACAGTGTGTACTTGAAGGACATCAGTGATATGTCAGCCCTTTCTGATAACATCATGTTTAGTATGCCAACATTTCGACATCTGGAGCACCCACTTTAATGCACATAAATAAAAGAGAGTTGTTGGTAGTTGTTAAGTCGCCTTTATGACCCCATGGACAATATTCCTCCAGGCTCTCCTGTCCTCCATCATCACTTGGAGTCCACCCACACCCACAACTGCCCCAGTGATACCATCCAGCCACCTCAACCCCTGCTGTCCACTTCTCCTTTTGCTATCAATCATTCCCAGCATCAGGGTTTTCTCCAGTGAGTCCTTCCTTCTCATTAGGTGGCCAAAGTATTTGAGTTTCATCTTCAGTATCTGACTTTCTAAAGAACAGTCAGGGTTGATTTTCTTTAAGATAGTCTGATTTGATATCTTTGCAGTCCAAGGGACTCTCAGGAGTCTCCTCCAACACCACAATTCAAAGACATCAATTCTTTGGTGCTCAGCCTTTCTTATGGTCCAACTTTCACAGCCATACATTACAAGTAGGAAAACCATAGCTTTGCCAATACGAACTTCTGCTGGCTGGGTGATGTCTCTGCTTTTTAGTATGCTGTGTAGATTTGCCATAGCTTTCCTCCCCAGGAGCAAGCGTCTTTTAATTTCTTGGCTGCAGTCACCGTCTGCGGTGATCTTGGAGCCCAGGAAAATCTGTCACTACCTCTATTTCTTCCCCATCTATTTGCCAGGAAGTGAGAGGACTGGATGCCATGATCTTAGTTTTTTTAATGTTGAGTTTCAAGCCAACTTTTGTGCTCTCCTCTTTCACCCTCATCAAGAGACTCTTTAGTTCCTCTTCACTTTTTGCCATTAGATCAACTGCATATCAGAGGTTCTTGATATTTCTTCTGGCAATCTTAATTCCAACTTGTGATTCATCTAGCCCTGCCTTTCTCATGACGTGCTCTGCATATAAGTTAAATAGACAGGGGGACAATATACAGCCTTGCTGTACTCCTTTCCAATTTTGAACCAATCAGTAGTTCCATGCCCAGTTCTCACTGTTGCTTCTTGACCCACATATAGGTTTCTCAAGATACATATAAGATGGTCAGGTACTCCCATCTCTTTAAGAACTTTCCACAATTTGTTGTGATCCACACAATCAAAGGCTTTAGCATAGTCAATGAAGCAGAAGTAGATGTTTTTCTGGAACTCCCTAGCTTTCTCCATGATCCAGCGTACATTGGCAATTTGATCTCTAGTTCCTCTCCCTCTTCGAAATCCTGCCTGTACTTCTGGTAGTTCTTGGTCCACATACTGCTGGAGCCTAGCTTGTAGGATTTTGAGCATAACTTTGCTAGTGTGTGAAATGACCGCAATTGTTCGGTAGTTTGAACATTCTTTGGCATTGCCCTTCTTTGGGATGGGAATGTAAACTGACCTTTTCCAATCCTGTGGCCACTGTTGAGTTTTCCAAATTTGCTGGCATATTGAGTGTAGCACTTTAACTTCATTGTCTGGGTTGCCATTTCCTTCTCCAGTGGATCACGTTTTGTCAGAGTTCTCTGCTATGACCTGTCTGCCTTGGGTGCCCCTGCACGGCATTGCTCATAGCTTCATTGCGCTACACAAGCTCCTTCACCATGGCAAGGCAGTGATCCATGAAGGGGATAAAAGAGAGTACATGGAAATATTGTACAATAAATCATGTCAATAATTACATAAGTTTGAACAGAAAGATAAATTAATTTTGTCCAGTATAACCTCTCCTATTTGTTCCAGCTAATGGTCACACTAACAGCTTGCAAGTACATTCAGGCCTTCAAGACTAGATCTAATTAACAGTCTTGTTTCTTGGTGTACAAAAAAAATATATTTAGCCTGCCTTCATACGCCATGCTTTAGTAACATGGTGTTCTATAGGGCAACAAGCATGGCAACAGAACATGGCCATGTCATCATCACTGGGAGAACTGGGAGAATAGCACCACAGTTTTGACCATATCTACAACTGGGGCATTTAAACTTGGCAAGGTGGTTTGCGGCACAGCTTTCCAAGGTGCCCATACTTGTTCCTTCCACAAGTATGTTTATAGATACAGGAAGGTGCTGCAAGGACCTCTGCAACATTTTTCCTGCTCTTCCTCAGAAACTTGACTTTTTGAAATGGTAGAGTTGGGGTCTCCTTTCCCAGTTTGCAGCATCAGAATGATAGGCTGAAGTCTTGAAGAAGTTGCTCTCTATTGTTTTCGTCTGCTCCCTGTATGGACCACGTCATAGTGGTGAAAGTTCCAACACCCTGCCATAATGGCGAACTTCTCTATCTCCGTCCGAGCAGTCTTGTTGCACCGACCTCATTATTTCTGAGGAACTCTTGGAGCTTCTTGCGCGAGCAAATAAGTGGGAAAGGGGCACTCAGGCACCTTAGACTGCCCAGTGGGAGAGCTGAGCCAATGGGGGGCTGCTCAAGGTGAGGTACAGGTGAGCAAGATCACACTTACGAAGCCTACTTGGGTGACACCATGAAGGAGGGAGGCCTGGTCATGGCCTCATCGCAGGCATCCTCGGCACCCCGTTGCTGGGGCGTGAGATGAGGGAACAGGAGCACAGAGCTGGCAGCAGCCTTGCCTCCATGCCCTTAATGCAGGGATGAGCAAAAAGACTGCTTCCCTCCACCAGAGTGTCCAGGTGGGCAACCTCTCATTCCCAGGCCAGGCCGGGAGGGGGCTCAGGAGAGGCCACCCCAAGCCACCGGAGTGCAGGAAGCACCTGGATGTGGCCTCCTGGCCAATCCTGCTCAGCCTCCCCCCACCCCAAAGCGGGGCAGAGCTGAGAAGCACCACCATGTCAAGGGGAGGCCATTGCCAAGACACACAGTCCCCTCGTGGCCCTCAGAGCAGGCGCACGAATGAGGCGCCCCTGTCCTCTGCAGCAGCCACCAACCAAAGAGGGTGAATGTGGGGCTGCGTGAACCAAGTTTGTCCCTCTGAGCCACGGGTCCTCAAACTACAGCCCACAGGCCGGATCCAGCCCACCATGCCCATTTATCCGGCCTGCCTCAGAGGTTTTGGACTCACCGCGCACGCGCATGCGTGTGGCAGGGTGGTGGCTTGCTCACATGGAGATGGTTTTGGACTCTCTCGGAGAAAACGATCTCCGTGCGCACGCACCCCAGCCTGCGCCCCCCCCCCCCCCCCCCGCCGGCACTGCCTTGCTGGCCCATGCCCATCACTGGCCCCTTTCAGTTGGCCCCCTGTTGAAAAAGTTTGAGGACCTCTGCTCGAAGCCCACCCCACATATGCCCCTTTCAGAGCAGAGCAGAGCAGAGCAGGCAGTGTCCAGCAGACCCCCTTCAGCCCTCTGCCCCACACACTAGCTGTGCAAGAGCAGAGAACGAGAACTCTCCGAAAAAGATCCTGTGATTTCTCCTTCCTTTCCCCTCACAATTTTGACTTCGGCTCCTGTCCTGCCTCAGGGCCCATGGGCAGGACCCAGCTATGGAGAGAAGAATGGCAGCCACAAATCAGTCCACTTGCAGACCCACCAGGGGGCCGTGTGGTTCATTGCGTTCCATCTGGAACAACAAGATTTTAGACCACCCCAACCTGACAACTCGCTCTAGCATGGTTTCCCCTGGTCTGGCTGCTATGTGGACTGTTTTGCACAAAATTCAAACCTAAAGTGGAGTTTGAATTTGAGGGGAAATGCAGTATTTAAACATCTCTTCCTTCAAAATGTCTTAAAGCCATTTCTTAAACAAAATAATAAAAGAAATAAGCAAGAAAGTGACATGGTGTTTCAAAATTTTATCTCAGCTCTTTGCAAACAACCCTTGGAAATGCTTTTAGGCCAACGATTTTCAATGCCATACTTGAACAGTCAGAGGGGGGAAATGGAAGATTCATTTTGATGCTGAATTTCCACCTTCTTCAGTAAAGAACAGTCTTCTCAAGATTGATTTTTGCACGGTTCATGTGTATTACTTGATCTCCGTTGTACATTTACACGTGGCATTGCACTCTTCTATCAATAGTTCTTCTTCACAGCTGGACATGTTTTTCAGTATAGCACAGCCTTCTAGATGATCCGTATACTTACATGGGTTGGCTGTACGAAATTAAACCAAAGCAAGTTAGATTGAAAAGAGCAACAGCTCCTTATTATTTAAACCATTATTGCTCTCCCCTCTTGTTTTCACAATACATTATTTTAACCTTCCCAAAGTCAGATTATTAATCTTTTCTGATCAAAAGAAAATGCTCTCCTTATTCTGAGCATTCTGCCTCTCGTGGATCCTTGGCACTGTCGTTTCTCATCCCAGACTTATGTATTTAATGCCAATTTCCCAGGTGTCAAGTTGAGACAGGTGGTGTTCACCTTGTCTGAGTGTAGGCACCTAGAGATGGTCCTGTGTATGGCCTCCTAGGGGAGGATTCGGTCTTCTCCATCCCCTGCAGGGGCTGTCCCACAGCAGCCAAGAGGCAGCATGAATTTAACTCTGACTTCAAAGTATATCGACTTCAAACTAATGCACTGGTTAGGATGCCTGCCTCTAGTGGCTGGAAATGCTACTGCCGATGGAGCATTTACATTAATTAAGATTAATGAATACATTTGGAAAGTCCTTCTATCGTCTAGGTTTTATGGTCTTGGGTCCTGGTTACCTGAAGGAGCGCTTACGTCCATATATGCCCAGCCGCCCCTTGAGATCAGCAGGAGAGGCCCTCCTCCGGGAGCCCTCAGTGAAGGAAACTAGGAGGGTGGCTACTCGGAGGAGGGCTTTCTCAGCGGTGGCGCCTAAGTTATGGAATGCGCTCCCCAGAGAGGTCTGCCTGGCGCCGTCGTTATTTGTTTTTCGGTGCCAGGCGAAGACCTTTTTATTTAAGCAGCATTTTAAATGTTAATATTATTGAATTTTATTCGGCCAGGGCGGCTTATTTTATTTTACTGTATATATTTTAATTGTTATTGTTTTAATGTATTTTGTATTTGATGTTGTAAGCCGCCCCGAGGCCTTGGCAAGGGGCGGCATAGAAATGTTTTAATAAATAAATAAATAGGTTTTATGGTCTCGGAGCTATGATGCTGATGGACAGATATAAAGGATATCTTCCATTATCATACACCCATGCTGTTCCACTCTGAGTTTAATCTAATGGCTTTCTGACCCTTCTTGAGCTTGATTGTAAGCTGATATTACTGATAGAAACTGAAATCACTTGGGAATGATTACAGAATTGTCAGCTCTCATAGGGCATGGCCTAGCACATGATGAAGTCCAAAGAAACCTTGCTTAGGGTTCATTCTTAGGCCATCTTTGTGGCAATGATTACAAGATGGAATTATTAGGAATGTTCACACGGGCAAATCTTGACATACAGTGATGTGAAATAACATATATGAGCCACTAGGGCAATGCTTCCCAACACTGGGTTCCCAGATGTTTATCCATTACATCCATTATCCCCAGCTATTACCCTAGCCAGTGTGATTGATGGGAACTGTAGTCTAAGACCCACCGTTGGGAACCATTGCCCTAGGGAAGACTAGTTCTGTACAGATTCTGGAGTGTTTGGCTACATCGAGCATTGATACTAGTCTAAAAATCAATATCGATTTACATGTCATGTAAAATCATAGAATGGGTGAAAGATTTCCGGGGTTCAGATGGGAAAAGTTAGCAGAAGAAACATAACCGTTACAAGGAAAATGCTGTAGGACTGGGAAAACGTGTGTGCATACATGCAAAGCCAAATGTAGAGTAGCAAAGCTGACTTCAGAGCATAAACCAGACACAGTTACACAGTGCAGCCTGGAACAGATAAAAGGCTTCCAAAATAATCCTAAAGCCATAGGTAAATGTCACATGCTGCCCACAGGCAAAGCAGTGGTTGAGGAACAGGCGATACCCTTCAGCATCAACAGGAGAAAGTTCCAAAAACAGATGAAACAAGTCCAATTAACATGCAGCCGGGCAGATGGCCATTGCGCAAAGCCTTGGGAAAGAAAGATATTTAAGATACACCAACATCAGCAGAAGTCTGAGAAAGACACAGGCAAACCTGCACAGCCACACGTTCGGTGGCTACTCACCAGCTTGGCTCTTGCTTCTGCGTATACATCCTGGCTGGCCACCAGGTTCTCTTGCTCCAAAATTGGTAATTATCCAGATGAATTTGGAAAGTATGAATGAATTAAACTAGCAGCATTTTATGTAAATGAAAGTGTTCTAGGAATTGTGTTTCAGTGTATGAATTTCAGACTATATCTCACCCTGCCATCCCAACAATTTATAACATAATAATCCGTAACTTACTGCAGAGTTTGTCCTCACAGTGCATAGGGCAGTCTGCACATGGCTTTCCTTTTTTGTAAGGTCTTCTCAATTGATGTGCTATAGTTCCCCTGGAATCACAGAGCAATGAAGCATGTGTTTCACAGCAAACATAAAAGGATAACTGTAATACATGATATCATGTACCTGTGCCACATGGCCTGCTGGATGGTTGGTCACAACCCTTGCTCCAAGAGCAATTTCCTGTTTCTAGCCCTGTTGTGGGAGAGGAGCAGCTGGGCTGCACCTTTGAGAAAGGAGGCTGAAACTGCATGATAAAACACATGCTTTGTATGCAGAGGGTCCCCGGCATCTCCAGTCAGAAGGACCAAGTAGCACGTGATACGGAAGACCTTGGTCTGACACCTCGGAGAACTACTAATCTAAAATCATGGGCATGTAAAGGCCATCCTGAAACCCAGACATGTTGCATTGTAGGGATACGTCTGTCTGCTTTAGTCAGTCACAAGAGTAAGTGCTGGGCAATGACTTAATGAAGACTGTCAGAACGTGCATCCTGCTCGTAAATGACCTCCTAGTCAAGTCAAATGCAGCAGCAGATCTTGGCACTTCTTGTCTAGTCACCCTGTGCCAGATCCTGACAATATAACTTAGGCAGAAAACAACCTTCTATGCCCACGAATATATTCCAGGATATGTGTGTGTGTACTGTTTTAAGTGTGCAAAAGTATGCTGAATTCCTTCCCCCCCCCCCCCCCCCCCACACACACGACTCTCTGCATCACTGACACATAGAACATAGAAACATAGAAAACAGAGCAAGTCAGAAAGGTCCTCCTGGGCCACCTAGTCTGACCTCTGGCACAAGCCAGCTCGGCTCCCGACATGCCCACCGTGTGGACGTCCAGCCTATCTTTGAACACCCGCACCAATGGGACCTCAACCATCTCCCGTGGAAGCCCATTCCACACCCTCGGGGTCCTGACTGTCAGGAAGTGCTTCCTGGCATCCAAATGGAACCTTGGTTCCCTGAGCTTTGCTCTGTTGGAGCGCATCCTGCCTTCCTCTGCAGGGGAGAACAGCTCTCTACCCACCTCCGTGTGACACCCCCTCACATACCTGTATGTCACCAACAGATCCCCTCTGAGTCTCCTCTTCTCCAGGCTGAAG